AACCCTAACCCTCTCCAAACTAAATAAGTTCTGGTTTACACATTCCAAAGAAAGCCGAACTGTTCGACCAGGAATTGTAGGTGTTGTGTAAAATCACCCTTGAGGCAACACTTTAACCCATACCATAGCAGGAAGTAAAATTTCCAAAACAAAATTAGCATAACGTAGGTTGACGAATAATGTTGTGTGGCACCAATAGTATTAGAACACTAGTTTAAATGTTTAACCATCATTTAACAACATGTAGTTGTCACCTGAGGCCAGTGATGTCAAATAACATTGCTCTTTGATGGATAAATAATATAAAAACATTTGTTCAGCAAATAAATGTGCAAGTGATTTTAAATTAACACGGGATGACAAAAGGTCTACGGGCCACAAGATACAAAGATACCATCAAATACTTAATCCACCAAATATTACACACAAGTTGTTTTGAGTTTTTAATATTTGTCTCTTACAAAACACAAATGGTGACGGATAACACCTGCAAATCCTATATAATCTGAGTCGTTATGGACATGCACTTCTATGTTGATCTTTTACATAACGGGATCAAGATTCTGTTCGGGGGCTCTGCATGCAGCACAACCAATTCTTCTGCAAATCAATAATTATTATCAGCATTAGTCAATTGATGCCTAGAAAATCGCAAAGGAATCCTCATTTCACCTTTCTACAGATTTGGCATTACCAGAAAGCAATGGCTATAGCATATCCATTTCACCGTAAATAGCTTCATACACGTGTGTGTTTGTGGGGGTGTGCGGCTTCATATTCAATTCTGAAAACTAAAATAAGTCATCATAGAACAACTTACACCCTGATGTTTTAAAGGTTCCACTCCATGCATAGTATTTGCATCCACCTTTGAAGGTGACTCGGGTTTCCCACCTGTCTTCTTCTCATCCCTGGCCTTGTTGAAAATGACAGTAAATCCCTCTGCGGAAGCTGGGTCATTAACATCCCAGTCGCCAAACTTTGGCAGTGGCCGACCCTTCTCCTGCCCAAAGTTACAGATAACATGCAAATAAAGCATTAATAAAGACGTGCATAGAGTTTGAACACCCAGAAGTGGCTAACTCAGATATCAAAACTGAAGTTGAAGATTCCAAAAAATAGATGACCGCAAGCAAAAGCTTAGCGAAGATGTATCACATCTTTGTACAGATCAACCCTCAATTGCTATTGCTAAATGAAAGGATCACAAAAATGGAAGCTGAACGTCCTATATGTCCAAAAGTAGGATAATCAATTTATGACAACTCTTGAACTAGATCCAACACAAGGAAGAAAATATTTAAGCTTGTATTTTAGTAGGTGAAGACTGCACCTTTTATACACATGGCAGCACGAGTTGCTGCTAGGACTTGAATGATGATTTTCGAGTTCATTGCTACATTGCTAAATTCAAATTTGTAAAAACATAATCGATAGATGCCATGTTAATTAGTTCTGGTTACAAAAATATTATTTTTAGTGAAGAGAGAGCAAAAATATGGAACGCTGCCACAAATGCAACATATGAGCATAAACAGTGAAGTGCTTATTTCCGAGAGCTCATGTTCCTGGTTCCTTGATGTCTAAGAACATGCAACTAAAAATCATTTGAACCAATTTGAAAATGCCAAAATCACATGTCACGATGATCCTTGTTTATAATTAAAGCATCATAAAATAGATGTATATGCACAACATATGAGCATAAAACATGAAGTGCTTATAGGACTCTTGAGGAATCATGTACCTTTGGTTTCTTGATGTCTAAGAACATGCAACCAAAATCTTTTGAAACCAAATTGACAGTGAATGCTAAAATAACAGTTCACGATGATCCTTGTTTACAGTTAAATTCTTGCATCTAAAAGTGTCATGAAATAGATATTCACTTTCGAACTTTGACAATCAATTCACTCTAATTCAATGACAGATAGAACCTACCAATGGTTAGCCAATTTCATTTCGGCATTTAACAAAGAGGAATTCAAAAAGTTAATTGTGTAATTTAAGCAGGATGTTATGGTTCTGAGAACTCCCACATTTAATATGCCACTAAAGACGATAACCTAGAGTGCGAAACTAGGCTACATCATATTAAATTTGGATAAGCAATTAGGACAGCAAGCAGTAGAATTCTTCCATCCAACTGTCGCACGAAGTTAGAAAATATAATCTAGACAACTGAAAAATTAAGAATTTATTGGTAAAGAACAAAATGAAATCAACCAAATTCCCAATTAAAAATTCTCTAAGAAGTTTTCAAATCATATGGAAACAATTGTACAACATTTCCATTAAAAAAGAATTATCTCTCCATTTATTTGGTCACGTTATTTTTCTTTTTGAGATGGGGAATAGGATGACAACTATTCAACATAAAAAGGCAAGAAATTTATTTATTCGCTTGAACATCTCCGTAAAACAAAATTCAATCAAACAATAGCAAACATCCAATCAATATTTTTCAATAATATTTATTACTTATTATTGTCTAAAATTTAGCCAAAAAAAATGAACAGTACAAACCTATACACCAAAGTGATCGATCAAAACACCAAAAACAAAAAAACAAAAAAATCTCCTAATAAAAGAAAAAGGGATTAGCAGAATTATCAAACAAAAAAAGAGAACCAATTCGAATCCGATTCAAATAATCAATAAAATCTGAATCTGAGAGAAGAAATCCATTACATACCGACATGAATCCGAAGGAAGAGATATTAATAAGAATAAAGAAAATGACTCGAGCAGAAGAGACAGAGATGGAGCCGTCAAGTGTGTAGACTTTGTATGTACAGGCAGCTGCAGTAATTTATAGTCCGAGAGAAGAACGAGAATATAATGTTTAGGGGAATGTGAGGGATTAAAATACTTTAATTACAGTTTCAATTTTGGCATTTTCGTTAGGGCGTGTTTGTCAAGTGGGAAAATGGGTGAATTACTTATTTCTACATACTTTCTTATACATACATGCCCTTAAATGTCTCGTTTTGCCCTTTATTTCAACATTTGTGCTATGTATACATTATAATTAACAAATTTGATTATCAACAAATAATGTGACAAAATTTGATCGAGTCAAAATTTCATTAACCTTCAAGTCCCTCTCCATTAAGGTGAGTATTCGACTGTAAATTTCAGGACCTCGTGGAATTAGTCGAGGTGCGCATGAACTGGTCCGAATACCCATTATCAAAAAATAAATAAATAAAAAATCTCACTAACTATATTGTAAAAAAAAATCTTCTACCTCCTTTTAAACATTTCATCAATTTGTAAGAGAACCTTTTAATGGTGATGTACAACCATTATTTTTGTTCAAACTTTAAACGGTCTAATTTTTTTTTTTATTGAAATTGGTTACAGTCCATTTGCCACATATGCTTTTACTTTTTATAGAAAAGTTTCTTGAGAAATTTATCTTAGACCAACTTTTTAAAAATTTCTTAGGGTACGTTTGATTGCGAACATGAAATTTACATGGATGAAAATTATTAATAAAATATGTTTGATTGATTTAAATTTTTAACCTATAAAATATTATACGTGTTCATTTTTTTATAGGTGGGTAGATGAAAGAGAAAAA